TTCACAGTTGCGAAGAGAGGGAAGAAAATCTGCATTACGACACAAAGAAGCAAATCCTCGCGAATCAGCAAAACACAAACCTAAATCATTCTAGGCATACAAAAATAGAGATTTCTAAAGATCCGAGGGCGATCTATGAAACGTGAAAGAAAGAGCACTACAGTAACCTTAATTGCCTTTCCAAACCATAATACTTTCGCAAAAAAATTCGGATCAGTTCACTTGCAGAATGATTCAAGGTAATCACGTCACACAGTCCACCCTGTATACACTATCGATCAAAACTTTCCCGACGAATTGTTAAATCCCCCGAACTTACAAAATGGAGAAGAAAAATCGAAAATTGCTACCAATCCCCGCGATATTAACAGCGAAACATAAATAAAAAGACAAACTTCACGGTAAATTCGATATCGACGTAAACTGATAAACGGTCGGAAACTTTTGGAGGGCAGTGTACGTGTATCGAATCATTTCCGATAGAAAGTCCCAGACACGATCATTTGCGAGCGCGTCGGCACATTAAACAGTCAATTAACTGGACGAGTCGGTTTGATTAGATTAGGGGGTGGACGTAATTGATTTGGCCGTGATTCATTTCGCGGTTCCTCCGCGACGGCTCTCCTCGATCGAGTGGCCGGTATCAATGTCGTGGCCAATGACCCTGGGGCAAGGGGAGAGCGAGAGACAACACAGAGACCGACTCTGGCGGCGACGCAGCTTCCCCGCGGCACGAATGAAATTTCCTCTTTTAAAACCACCGATTAAACCACCGACTCGAACCTCCGGTTTACGGCTTTAATTCCTGCGGATTCTTCTTATTCACGCTAACTGCGCCGACTCCACGGTTCCGCTCCAACACGATTCATCTCCACCGTATCCCGTCACGTTTCACGAACAGAGAGATCTCCGTTTCCAATGCGGCTAGACGACGACCGGCGGAGATGTGGTACATTTCAAGTGGGTTCAATTTAATTTCCCTGATTCAGATTAATTTCCTATTTTAATTCACTTTTTATTCCACCTTGTAACTGCCTGTACGTCGGTGATACTTGAACGGAGAGCTTAGAGCTCTTTCATGGATGATTTCTTTTTTATAGAAATTTTGAGTTGTTATTTTTGGTTCTTGAAAAATTTGATTCAGTTTTAGAAGTTAGATTTTGGATTTTTGTTTTTTTTTGGTTCTCAGATAGGATTCTGCGTTTAGAATGGCAGGTTTAAAGAGAGGTGATCTTTTTTTTTTTTCTTAGAAACTTTGGAAGGTTTGGAAGTAGAATTTACCATTAAGCGAAGAAAAATACTCTCAAATGACAAATATTCGATATTATTAACATTTTCATTTCGTTTTGACCGATATTAAGAGCCTCGTTTCGCAATTATTGACAATCTACACGTTCGTAAATCTACTTCGAATTTTATCGCTGCACTTATTTTGGAAGTAGATGCAACTGAAATTTTTTGAAGAAGTACCCACACTCAGTTACTCAAGTTAAGACGTTTATGCGAAGAAGCCTATCTACTGTGGAAAAGTGTGTTAGAATATGTCAGCATAGAAAATTAGTGACTGTGAAAAAGTATGTTGGAATACTTAATTACGGAACAGTGGTAACTATGTTGAATATTGTTCCACGTTTCCTTCGCACTAACAGCCAACGAAGTCGATTTTTCATTTAACACCGTGTGTGAAAATTGGTCTTAATACTCGAATGAAAAGAAATGCATAAATAAATAAAGAAATTTGCTTACCCATTTTATGGCAATCGTCAAGCGAATCCGTGTTGCGCCTATACGTGAAAAGGAACAAAAGAAAAAAACGTATGTGAGAATCGATCGTAAAATATCCTAAATAAATAAAACTATTATAAAATTCTCGAAATGATTGGAAATTTTGTCGTCACGCGTGTACGAGAGTACGAACTCTTCCAAACACCGAAATAAAAATGATTCGATCACAAATTGACTTTTCAAAGTGGCACCGTACCCAAAAGTACTCTACTCTAATCGCTCACTGAAGAAACACCGTACCGAAATACCTGCACGTTAGTTTCGAAAATGAAATTACACTGGTACCACTTCGAACAATCGTGCACCTAATTTCGCACTTGCAAAGTGAACATTAACACGTCTCGTGTGACTTCGAAAACATATTCAAAAACTCGCATTAAAACCTCATTACAGAAAAATATCGACAAAACTCAAATTCTTGACACTCTAATCTTCCTTTGCACATATTTTGCATAACATTTTCCCATTCGATAAAAATTCCAAAAACTGTCGTGCAAAACACGGTGTTCCAAAAAAAAAAAAAACCTGTACAATTTCCCTATCTACGGTGAACCCAGAAAAAAAAAAAATAAAAAGAATTGACGAAAAAGTTAGCCACGATATCACCATGTAGCCGTATATACACTGTATCGTTCGAAACCGTAAAACATTGTCGATCGTGTCCCCCCCGTCGTGGAGATGGTGAAATGTGAAAACTCACCGATGAGAGGAAGAACGGCGGAAAAATCGGACTAGCGAGATCGCGAGAAAACGGCACGAGCTGTCCTCTCAGCTACGACGAAAGTCAGATTGTTCGAGAGAGCCTGATGGTTTATCGAGAGCACACCAGAGTTTAAGCCGTCGACGCGAACGGTAACGCGTGTCGAGTATTACTAAGGGGGATGATATGTGGGCCAGCCACTTTAAAAGACGAGCTAACTTAACGAAAGGTGAACTGAGCGTACCTGGGACCAACCGGAGTTCCTTATACCTGACTCTCCGCGTGAGAGGACGGGACAACTTCTCCCACCATGGACGACGACCCGTCTATTGACGCATCTATACGAGAGCGTGGCCGCAAACACCTTTATCTCTCTCATTCGCGTCCAACGATCCTTTGACGAACTTTGAGACAAGGAACCGATTCTCCTCTATCCGGCGACGTAGACCGTAAGTACTCAGGTACGGTGTAATGTATGTATATCTACAACGGTGTTACCGGTGAACAGTCCATCGTGGTGCCAACCTTTACACCTTCTGTATGAATGGAGCTGATGCACGAACGCATTTGATATGAAAAAACTGGTTCGTTAAATATCACTTGTACTGTCGTGTGTACAGTATGAACGCGTAGAATACTGTTTGTTTTTTGCTGTTGTTCTGTAGATAATGATCGATAGACGTTGCAAATGAAATATTCTTCACGATAAGATTGGAAATGAGTTAATGATTCAAATTATAGATTGAAAATTAAAATTCGTTTCATTTACGTAGATAATGGTCGATCATCATTGCAAATGCCATTTTTTAAAGGTACGATTTACGGGTAAATAAGTGTCTTGTAAAAGATGAGATAATTTTCAGAGGAATGCTCGACAATGGAAGAATTTGAGTTGGTGATTATGCCACTTGTTATTTATCGAAAATTGAAAGTAGCTTCTGTTTATTTTTCTCTAGGTAATGATCGATTTGCACGTCGAATGGCACATTGCAAGTGGCATTTTTTTAGGGTGTACTTAGGAAACGAGTTTGTTGGAATGATTGGGAAAATTTCTCCTCCTTGCAGAAGGATGTCTGATAATGGAGGAGCTAAGTTGGAGATGGTTCGAGTGTTATTTGTTGAAAATTGTATTTTTCGGAAGATTGTTACAGCGAGTCTGATTTGTCATGTGGAATTCTTGGAAGGAGCTATTATATACGAGCTTCTAAAATGATTCTTGTCTTTTCTATAGGTGTGGATCGATCGACACTGTGTCATCTTAGGTGTTATTTAGTGGGAAATGAGTTTTTTTTTCAGAAAATTTTTATTAGAGGCACTGTTTCGGCGATGATTCAAATGTGATTTCTTGAAAATTGTACTTTTTTTGGGAATACGTGTGTATATTTCATTTTAATGTACATAAGTGTATTATGCAGTTGTAGAGAGGTTTATTGAAATAGTGTGGTTGCAGTGGAAGATTCGAAGTGGAGTTGAAACAGCTTTTGCGACTCTTTTTTCGTATATGCGTTTATATATCATTACCATAAATTTGTATTATTCATGTGTATTTTCTTTCTAAACTAATGAATTACGTATTTGAAAAATCTTTCCTCTAACTCATGAGTAACACGAGATATTTGAAAAATACACATTACGAAGGCAGGAAATAAACCAAATTCCTCTTATATATGCAAGTGTGTTTCCACGAATCTGCCATATTTTTATATATTACACTTCTCGAAAGGCAGTGACAAACTTGTTACCCCAAGTGTCACATAATAAAAAAAACTTCTGGTAAACAATTAATTTTCAAAATATGCATTACAAAAATGGAATCAAATTAAGCCTGAGATATTTCACATTTCACCCCTTTCTATTTGCACACTGTTTCTACAAATTAGTCTTCACGAATCCCAAAAGATAAACAAATAAATACTGCATTCGTAAGATCTTCTTTCCCAGACAGCGCGTAATAAGAAATTTTTTTAAACAGTCGAATTTCACGCGACCCTGAGTTAAAAACGAAGTCCTTGTCCATTCGAAAATCTGCCAGACAGCTCTGCTGATCCTTACTACCTGACCAGATTTATTTCTTTTTTTTTTTTTTCAAGCACATACCTATTCGAACACGAGTTTCGATGATTAATCAGTACAACACGACACGTGTGACGGACACAGATCGAAACGAGCTGAAGACACTTCGTATTCAGACTGTGCTAACGTTCTCTTAAAATTGTGCAACGAATAATACTTATAGGGCCCTGTGCGGCCGTGTCGAAATTCTTTGGCAATAATATCTGCCATTATGCTCGATACCTTGATCCCTTTATCCCCGGCCATAACTCGTGGAACGTTGTGCGGAAAATGACGGACGACGTTCCATTTGTTGAAAAAACAATCGTGATTACTGAAAAAGTGACCTACAATGTTTGCCCTGTTGCTGATTAACTCGCAACAAAGTATAAACCGAACGGAAAAATCAACAGCAAAAAGTAGCGTTTGAATTCATTTGTAGCAAGATACATATGAAATTAACGAAAAATTTATAATAAAACCTTTAAAAAAGGATTTGCATGAAAAGTGACGCACGAATAACGATTTGTATATAAATTACCGATAATTGTTATCTCTATTCGTTAATTTACTTTTAATCAAGTCACTCGAAAGCCAAGCGATATCTTCGCTGAAAACCCAGCTGGCACCTACTATTCGCCCCATTTCCTTCGCTATTTCTCTCTCGTACAAAACTTCCTCACAATATACCATTACGCTCTTCTCTTCGTTAGTTTTCTTCTTATTTCCCCCACCCACAAACACTTCGCTTCTTACCCAAGCGCCACTGTAAAACTCGAATTCAAAGAAATATGGAATAATAGCAATTCGAAAGAAACACGTTGAATAATTACCGACGGAAAAGACGTCAAGGATGAGATAACTTATTCAAGTAACAAAAGTGTGTTTAGACAGTGTTCCAGCGGCGAGAAGATCGGTTTCTTTCCAAGAGATTCCTCCGTCTATGTACTCTCTAACGTCGTCGAAGAGAAATTCTCGAGCCGCCAATAGCCTCGATTGCAGACCATTCGAACGGTTCCCAATCGATAAAAGTGTTATTTATAATTTATATAAATGCATTTATCTAGGCCGAACACCACACTTTGATAGGCCACACGCTTCTAAATCATATTCAAAGTGTAGCGTATTTATTTATCGGAGAGAAACTTCAAGATCCAATCGTTTTTCTGTGTCTTCTCTTAATTTCCACAATTAATCCTCGAACAAGTCACACGGGCGGCAGATTGTTCACGTGTTAACGAGAGACAAATTGTAACGTTTGTAAAAGGACGACGACGATGAGTAACGATCGGTTTTCTTCGCATTGACGAGAATTCGCCGGTGGCTGATTTCAGAAACTTTTACAACGAAACGCCGACTTTCGTTTTGCATAAGAATGCTTACGATGCACTTAGCACGACGTTGCGTGTATCTCGCTCGCAATGGTCAAGCGTGAAGTGCAAGAGCATTCCATCACCGCGAACACACATTGGATCAATCGAACTCGCCGACGATCCTTCAAAACGTCAACCCTTTCTCGATGGTTAATTTCGACGAAATATTCGTACCAACTACGACGAACGTGTGTTTGAAACGAAGAAACATCATGCCTTCCGTGTTACATCGTTTCCGTCGTGACGTAATTGGGTAAAATTTCAGCTTCCTATCTCGAACGATTTGCGAAATATTTCATGTTAATGTTTTGACAAATTGAACGAAATGCTGTCGATATGTTCACATTTCAACACGTACCTGTGTGCTCGTTTCAAAGACGAGGAAAATTTTCTTCGTACGTATGATAAATATTGTTTCTTTTGGCAACTGTAACGATTGATGTTAAAGTTTCAAACGCTGACTTGACACTGTAACGAGTTTTTCCCGTGGAAAAAGGGTTTTTCTGAAAGATGTCGAGATTTTGGGAACAGTGAGAAAAGAAGTTGGGAAATTGAGAAAGTTAAGATACTGAAGTAGAAATAGGAAGTTAAAATTTTGCACGGTTTAATTGTGAGAGATTATCGATGGATTCAGCGTTAGAAGAAAATCAGTGTCGAAGTGTTAAAATTGTTAAAATTGTAAAGTTCCATAAGAAACCTAATGTAACAAAAGTGCGATAAATTGTCAATCAAGTAAACGATGGTTACAGAACAAAATATAGGTCACATCGCTGATTAACGTCTTTCTAATGACCCAACTTTTCTAACGGCACAAATGTCCAACTGTTTCACGTGCTTCCAATTCCGAATAAAAATTTTTACCACAAAAATACAATTTGCATATTGATAGAAAACCATTACTCTGCGAAGCAACCATTATCAACCGCGATAAATCGTAATAAAAAATATATTACAATTCTGTTTCAAAGGGTTCCACAAATCTTTCAAACGACCCAGTAAAAATCTACAAATACCCAAAATTGAAAAGAGCAAAATCAGTGGAGAGCAATTTCACGTGATTCTCCAGCAAGCAATTATTAACCACAATAAATCATAATAAAAAATATATTGCAATTCTATTTCAAAGGATCTCGCAAATTTTTCAAACGACCCAGTAAAAATTTTAAACTACCCAAAATTTAAAAAAAGAAAGAAAGGAATCAACGGAGAGCAATTTCACGTGCAAAAATTTAAAAGTACCGAAAATGAAAAAAAAAAAGAAAGAGAAAGAATCAACGGAGAGCAATTTCGCGCGATTCTCCAGGATGATCGTTCGTCGACCACGGAGAACACAGGACCAGTTTCCACGGAGGATCACGGAAACCAGGAACGATCGCGGGTGCAACGATCCCCGTTTGATGCGAGCGCGCCTTTTAATTAAGTCCCTTTTTATTCTTGGTCGGAAAGTTTGCTCACCCACCTTGAGCTGAATACCGGCGAAACACGCGGCGGGTACTCGAAATGGAAAGGAAGAAAAAAAAATTGCCCCTCGACTACTCTCCCACGTGTGAATATTCTCTCCCGTGTAGACACTCTCGGGTGCGCCAACTTTTACGGGAAACGCGCGATTCGTTGCAAGTTTACTACTATCTCCGCAGACCCGTTACGAACCACGATAATCACTCTTTCGTAAGACCCTACGTAACTCGGCTCATTCCAATGCAACCCGGAATCGTTCCAACGGAGAAATAAATGATATAAATGGAAGTGATCAGCAAGTGATATGAGTTCCTATTAGACAGTGTAATA